TTTTTTTTTTCTTTTTGGAGGCTGAGTTTCATTATGTAGTTCAGGTTGACCTTGAGCTCACTATGTAGCTCAGACTGGTCTTAAACTCATGGCAATCCTCCTGCCTCATTTTCTCTAATGTTTGGATCACAGTTATGCACCTCCATGCTCAGAAGTTTGTTTTGTTTGTTTGTTTTTTGTTTTTTGGTGGAAACAGGAATTGAACTCAGGCCCTTGCACGTGCCAGGGAAGCGCTTATTCCATTGAGCCATCTCCCCGGCCCCAAACCTAAGATCTTGCTGATGCTAAACAATACTCTAACACTGAGCTACATCTGAGTCCTTTTAATTTTTTATTTTATTTCATTTCATTTTATGTATTTGGTACAGATTCTCACTATGCAGCTTGGACCAATAGCAATCCTACTGTTTTCAGCCTCCCTAATGGTGGGATTGCAGGCACTTGGTCTTGGTGGCCAGCTCAGCATGGCATGTGGTGCTGAGGATTGAACCTGGTTACTGTGCTTGCCTAAACAGGCGCTTAGTTGGCTGAGCTACCTCACCAGTCCAAAATACTCTTAATTTTGAGGTATGATCTTGCAAAGTTACCCAGGCTGACCTTCAACTTCTGACCATCTGCTCCACCTTCCAGAGTGCTGGGGCTACAAGGCATGTGCCATTGCGTCCAGTTATTTTACAGAATGACTGATGGAGAGCTACAGACCTCCCCTGCACCCACTGCACCCTCCCACAGCCTCCACAGAACACATCCCTCACCAAGCTGCCTGGCTGTTACAGTCGAGGGGCCGGCATAGCACCACCCGCCTAAGTCTGTGGTTCACACTAGAGTCGCTCTTGGTGTTGGATCATGTGGGCTTGGCTACACTGCTGTGTGTCTGCCATTACAGCATCACAGAGTAGTGCCACCACCCTAGCTATCCTTTTGCTCCTTGCCAGTCCCTAGCAATGCCAACCTTGTCTCTGTCTCCATTTTGCCACACTTTTGCCTTCCACAGAATGTTAGTCAGCTGGAATCAGCACTGCTCATCCTTTCCACACAGGCCACTTTTATTTCTCTCCTTTTTGTGCTAACTGTTCATAACCTCACTACCATTTCCAGGTTACAAATGAAGACAGCACAGTACAGAGAGGTGACTCAGCCTGCCCACGGTCACTCCGCCGGTAAGTGGCAGAGCCAGGGTTGGTACTGGAGTTCCAGGTCCTGTCCAGTTGGCTCCTGCATCCACTTAGTTATTCTCAATGTCCAGGAGCACTTAGCACTATAGTCCCTTCACGGAGATGGGGCCAGACTAGAAAAGAGAAGGAGTTCTCACCCTGTTCCTGAGACTCACTCCCCTGTCCAAGGCCGCTGGATGGATGCATACTGGGTAGCCTGTTTGGGCCCTTTCTTCACAGTTCCTCACTGCCATCCAGGACTCCATGAGAAAGCAGGAAGTGTGGGCAGGAGGAGAGGCCAGCCAGGCCCATGACACTGGCCCTCCAGCCGAGAAGGTGAAGGCTCTTGTGGATCTGCTGCCCTGGAAGAGCAGTCAAGGTGGTCAGACCCTACAGGCCCCTGATGGGATGCCCGAATCCCCACTAGGACCCCACAGCAATGGTAAGAGCCACTTGGGAGGCTGATGGGGGGAAGATTGGGGCCCTTTCCCCTGGCCCAACCCTTACCTGTCTTTCCCTTGGCCTGTGTCTGCAGACTCAAGAATGTGCAGGAACCTTGAGGCCCTGCTGGGCAGAGTGGGAGGCACCCTGGATCTGGGCAGCCCTATGCACCAGCTGGCGAGCCTGTTGCTGGTGGAGGGCCTGAGTGACCTGCAGCTGCGGGAACACGACTTCACGCAGGTGGAGGCCACACGTGGGGGCCAGCGCCCTGCCAGGGTCATCACCCTGGACAGGCTCTTCCTGCCTCTATCCCGGGTGTCCATCCCACCTCGTATCTCCATCACTATTGGAGTTGCTGGCATGGGCAAGACCACCCTGGTAAGGCACTTTGTCCACCTCTGGGCCCAAGGGCAGCTCAGCCAGAACTTCTCACTGGTGTTGCCTTTCACCTTTCGGGACCTCAATGCCTATGAGAAGCTATCTGCCGAGAGACTCATCCGCTCTGTCATCCCAAATGTTGGGGAGGCCAGTCTGGTAGTGACAGCCCCTGCCAGGGTCCTCCTGGTCCTGGATGGCCTGGATGAGTGTAAGATGCCTCTAGATTTCTCTAACACTGTGGTCTGCACAGATCCAAAGAGGGAGATCCAAGTGGACCAGCTAGTCACCAACATTGTCCGGGGCAACCTCTTCCCAGAAGTTTCTGTGTGGATCACCTCTCGTCCTGGAGCAGCTGGCCAGATCCCAGGAGGCCTAGTGGACCGGATGACTGAGATCCGGGGCTTTACTGAGGAGGAGATCAAGGGGTGTCTAAAGCAGATGTTCCCTGAAGACAAGACCCTTGTAGGCCAGATCCTGAGCCAGATGCAGACTGACAGGGTCCTGTATCTGATGTGCACAGTCCCAGCTTTCTGCAGGCTTGTGGGCATGGTGCTGGGTCACTTGTGCCACAACAGGCCAGTGCCCCAGGGCCCTGAGCTATGGCCCCCACAGACCCTATCTGAGCTCTACTCGTGGTACTTCAGGATGGCTCTCAGTGGGGAGGGGCAGGAGAAGGGCAGGCTGAGTTCCCGGATTGAGCAGGTGGCCCATGGCAGTCGCAAGATGGTTGGGACACTGGGCCGGATGGCTTTCCACGGGCTAGTCAAGAAGAAGTTTGTGTTTTATGAGCAGGACATGAAAACATTTGGTGTGGACCTGACACTGCTGCAGGGCACCCTAGGCAGTTTTTTCCTACAGCGGGAGGAGACGCTGGTCTCCTCAGTGGCCTACTGCTTCATCCACCTGTCCCTGCAGGAGTTTTTGGCAGCTGCATATTATTATAGTGCATCCAGGAGGGCCATCTTTGACCTCTTCACTGAGAGTGGCATGTCCTGGCCCAGGCTGGGCTTCCTCACACACATTAGGAGTGCTGTGCAGCGGGCCATGCAGGCTGAGGACGGGCGACTGGATGTGTTCCTGCGCTTTCTCTCGGGTCTCCTGTCACCCAGAGTCAATGCCCTGCTGGCTGGCTTCCTGCTCACCCAAGGCGAGCATCAGAGCTACCAAGCTCAAGTGGCCGAACTTCTACAGGGCTGCCTGTGCCCCAATACAGCGGTGTGCTCCCGTGCTGTCAATGTCCTCTACTGCCTCCAGGAGCTGCGGCGCACAGAGCTGGCCCAAAATGTGGCAGAGGCCATGGGCAGTGGTGCCCTGGCCAGCCTCACCAGCCCCTCGCACCGCGCTGCTCTGGCCTACCTCCTGCAAGTGTCTGACATCTGTGCACAGGAGGCTGACCTGACCCTGGGCCTTGGCCAGGGTGTCCTCCAGAGCCTGCTGCCCCAGTTGCTCTACTGTCAGAGCCTCAGGTGGGCATGAGCTGGGGTTCAGGCCATGAGGGCAGAGGAGCAGGCAGAGGACCTGGAAGGCTTCTTCGCTCCCCCATCCCCCTTGGCATTAGTTTACTGGGGCTGCAATAGCAGTTCCAAAACTGGATAGGGTGACAACATAGTGACCCATTCCCTCACAGTTCTGGAGGCCAGAAGCTGAAATCAAGGCCCCCAAATCCACTAGGGGAAGCGAGGTGGGGAGTCCTTCCAGCATCTCTAGATCCTGGTGTTGTCTGGCACCCTTCAGTGTTCCTTGGCTGGAAGCTGCCTCTTCTAGTCTCAGTCTGTAGACTTCTTCAGGTCACATGGGCTTCTCCTGTGTGTCTGTCTTCACGTGATGCTTGTCTCTCCTATAAAGACACAACCATACTGGACTACAGGCCTCCCCTGTCTAGTGTAGTGACCTCCTCTTCACTATTACATCAGCAGCAGGCCTATTTCCGGATGAGGCTATGTTCTCTCCACCCACTCCTGATCTGGGGATTGAACCCAGGGCCTTTGCACCAGCTACATCCCCAGCACTTTTTCTTTCTTCTTTAATTTTGAGGCCATCTAAGACACTAAGGTGCCCAGGCTGGGCTTGAACTTGCAATCTTCCTGCCTCAACTTCCTAGCATACTTGGATTACAGATGTGTGCCACCAGGCCCAGTAAGGCTCCATTCTTTAGGCACTGGAGGTTAGGAGTTCAGTGTATCTGTTTGGGGGACAGAATGACAGAAGCTGCACCCCTGACCAGATCTTCAGCTTACACTCTTCACACTGCTCTAGACCTTAGAGACTGGGTTTGAAAGTATAGGAAGAGGGTCATTTGGGATCTAAGAAGAGTCTGTGCACCCTCAGACAGGCCAGCCAGCAGTGGTATCACATAGAGATGCATAGCACGTGGGGTTTGGAAGCAGCCCCCAGAGTGGGGAGGTCCAAGCATCACAGGCTGAGCACAGGTCTCTGAGCCATGCAGAAGGCTGTAATGTGATGGACAGGAGCTAGCAGGTCCTTCCCTGCCCAGGGGCAGCGAGACTGCTCACTGGCACTGCCCCTCCCTGCCAGGCTGGATACCAATCAGTTCCAGGACCCGGTGATGGAGCTGCTGGGCAGCGTGCTGAGTGGGAAGGACTGTCGCATCCAGAAGCTCAGGTAACACTGACCCCACAGCCTGCCCAGGCGGCCCTCCACCTTGCGGGTATGGGACCTCTGTCCCATCCTTTGCCCTGTTCCGCTCAGAGCCCTCCAGCAGACTCATCTGCAGCCTGCTTGTTTCCCTATTCTTGAAAGTGTAGACACTCCAGTACCTCTGCCTGGTAAGAAGAGAAAAGTGATGGATGAGGACCAGCCACTGTCACAGACACACGAGCATATCTCCCTGACAGGCCCTACACATTGTTTTACCAAACAGCTCTCTGTTTGCTTTCAAACAATATTCAGGGTACAGGATTTGGAAATTTTAGTTTGATAAGTTTTAATTTTAATTTCAATAAAATCTAATGTGAAATTACCTTCCCAGAGCTGGGAAAGCTGAGACAGGTGGATCACTACAGGTCCAGGCTGTGTAGTGAGACCCTGTGCCAAATAAATGAATAAGAGGTTTTTTTAAAAAAAATTATATTTTAAATTAAGAACTGAATCATTAATGTTATAACTAGATGTAAGTTTTTATGCTCACTTAAATGCTTATGACTCACCCCTGGAATAACATCTCCAGATCTGAGGACCACTGTAACTTGTAGTTCAACCCATGTGATGACATATTTGGAGAAGCAGCGAGATGATGTGGAGAACAGGACCCAGGGAATGATTTTCACTTTTATACGAGGCTCCAGGTTCTGAAATAATCTTCATCTTAATTAATGATAATTTTAAATGAGTCAGGAGTGATATCAGTCTTTGAGGATGTCAGTGACAGCTGAAGCTCTGTGTGACCTTGAATATGTCACCTCTGTGTCTAAAGAGGGTAAAGAGGGGGTTAAAAGGGATCTAACTTGTGAGTTTGGGGATCCCTAAGGCCGTCCTCCAGCTTAACGTTTTGCTAGGACTGAGGGCTGAGACGTGCTGTCGTAGCTATGCCTCACTGCGCTGAAGGGCACAGGAGAAGCACAAGGGGTGTGGGGCAGGGCCAGGTAGGCCCGCGCGGGCTTCCCACATCCTCTCCCTGGAGGTCCCGCGGAGGTCCTTCCTTCTCCTGGCAACCACATGTGATGTGACAGTTCTCAGGAAGCTCTGCCCACCGGGGAAGCCATCCCAGCCTGAGCACTGGAGGATCTCACTGGGACTTGGCTGCAGAGGTGTCTCTGACCACCAGCCCTGCTGGCCTCAGCCTGCAGCGGCTCGGACGGCAAGACGATTGCGCGGCTCAAACCCTCACCATACACCGCTGTGGGAGGCAAACTGTGCAGCGGGTGCCCTCAAGAGCCGAGCCTTCTGCTTGTGAGCCTTCGAAGCGTTATTTCAGTGTCAGGCACCTGGCTACTCCGACAGGACTACCTTTGCCTCGCTAGCAAAACGTGTAAAAGAAGAATGATCATGACAAGTTCTTATTAATAGTCTTCCTTCATAGGAACTTCTAGTATTTTTTCCCCCACAAAATTCTTAGAAGCTTTGTTTACTATTGGAATCGGAGCCTGAAAAGAACTAAGCTAAACTAGAATGTGCTCAGATCCTCCAACGCCTCATCTCTGAGCTGTTGTGAACCTCTAGTCTTTTTAGCACATGACAAGATAGTTAACTTTTAGTTTTGCTTAACAGAGGCTAGACAATGCCCCCAATTATACTGAACAAAGCCAACACTTTTACATGCTCTCCCCACCACCTTTGGTCCTCGTATGACCTTGCCATCTGCAATGTCCACACAAAGTATACTGCAGAAAACACCTGGCTGCTTGTGAAACAGCCTCCAAGTCCTGGGTGACAAAGACTGTCTAGAAGGTGAGAACATTTATATAGAAGGTGGGCTGGATGACCTTTAAACTTTAAGCAATAGAACTCTTTTTATAAAAAAGTGATGCAAGCCTGGGGAGATAGCTCGGTGGTCTAAGCACCTGCCTGGCAAGCGCAAGGGCCTCAGTTAGACCCCCGTACCACATGCCGGCCCAAAAACCCAGGTGTGCTGTGCCAGCCCTGAAACTGGGCATGGTGGCATGTACCTGTATTCCCAGCACTGAGGAGGCTGGGACAGGAGGATCACTGTGAGTCCAAGCTGCATAACAAGACCCTGTACCAAATAAATAAATTTTTTAAAAACTATGCAAGCCAGCATGATGGCACACACCTGTAATTCTAGCACTCTGGGATTATAGACATATGTCACTGAACCTGCCTCACCCAGGAAGGTTTCCCTCAGGATCTTGAGAGGCCCTTTGGAATGTAGCTTGAAAAGTTGCAGCCTGGGGACCTAATTCAGTAGCTGTATCTCCTGGGCTGAATGCCCAGAAAACTCTAAAGCAACTTCAACAGCACATTTCTGGAAGCCAGTACTTGACTTGGATCTATCTGCATATCATTGGAGTCGCTCTTTCAAAGGGAAGAGATGCCTTTTTTTTTTTTTTTTTTTTTTTTTTTTTTTAAACAGAGCCTCTCTTACATAGTTCAAGCTGGCCTCTACTCACAATGATCCTCCTACCTCAGACCCCTGAGATGTCCTTTTTCATTTCCAACTTTAAACTTAGTCTTATGATAACTCTACCATTTGCAGTTTTGCACAGGAGGAAAGCTAGGGTCAGTAGTGTGCTGGGACTCTTGTATGGGCTCAAGAGAGCTGGTGGTTTGAATTCTGCAAGCTGAGGCTATTAAAATTGGTCAAGGTGGGGGCTAGAGAGATAGCTCAGTAGAATAAGTACTTGCCTGGCAAGTGCAAGGTCCTAAGTTCAATCCCCAGTACGGCAAAAAAACAAAAACTTAGCCTTTAGGGGCTGGAGAGATGGCTCAGTGGTCTAAAGCACCTACTTGGAACAAGCTTGGCAAAGCACAGGGACCACGGTTCGATCCCCCAGCACCATATGCCAGCCAGCTGCGCCCCCTGGTGGGCTGAGCTGGCCACACACACACACACACACACACACACACACACACACACAATAAATAAATAAATGTTTAAAAAAAATAAATTTAAAAAATTGGTCAAGGTGAGAGCATTTACATCATAGAAATTGGCAAATGGTACATATCACATTATCACATTTCTGATTTTATTTTTGTTTACTTTGAGAGCCACTTTGCCATCACAACTTTGGCCTTGGTCCCCACTGTGGACTTCTATAACTGATTTCTTCACTACGTTTGTGTAGAAACTGTTCTGAAGGATTCTGGCCTAACTTTGCCTGGGACACTTCCCAAGGGAGAGGGTTCGCTGGCCACTCTGGTTGTATTTGCTCAGGCTCAGGGCCTTCCTGTGCCTGGCTCTCTGCTCTGGGCTTAGCTTGTCTCCACCCATGTGTAGGCCCTGATGCTACTGAGGAAACTGTGAGATTAATCATGGGCATAACATTGATGAGGAAGCAGTGAGATTCATATACCTGAAATAACCGCCCTCTCCTTTCCCTTGGGCAGCCTGGCTGAGAACCAGATCAGTAACAAAGGGGCCAAAGCTCTTGCCAGATCCCTCCTGGTCAACAGAAGTCTGACTACGCTAGAGTAAGTAGGACACAGAAGCCCCTTGGCTCTTGCTTGCTTTGCTACCTTCTGCCTGCCATGAGCTGTTTCTCCTCAGTGATGCCTGTCTGCCATGCTGCCCTGCCTTGGAACCAGCCAATCATGGACCAAAACCTGTCTGCCTCTGTAAGGCAGATAAGTCCTTTCACCTTTATAATAATAATAAAAGCTCACTGGCATGAGGAGAATTTTGAACTCTCTCCTTTCATATGAAATGACACTCCAGGTTCAGCCTGAGGTAGCTCTGGGCATGGTACCTTAGCCCATGGAGAGTGGGTTCCCAGGCCCTGGGCTCCTGTAGACCACACATCCTCCTGGGCAGACGTGTCCTCTTCTAAGACAGCTGAATAAGTGAAGTCACAATGCCTCCCTGGCTGTTGAGTCTCACCCCGGGAAGTGCTCCATTTTCAGCCCTGATCTGGACTCAGCATTCTCCTCGCTTCCACACTTGGCCCAAGGCTACAGGTCCTCAGGAGTTGTTCTCTTTTCCCCATCACATGGGACCACCTTGCAAAACTCCTTCCTTGTTTGCCTAGGTGAGGGGCTGTGCCCTGGGTCCACCAAACATGGAAGTAAGGATCATAAATTCAAAGTCAGCATAAACTTCCCTCCTTCCCAATCTGAGAGTCACTTCTCTCCCTTGATTCCCCCAGCCTCCGCAGTAACACCATTGGACCACAGGGAGCCAAGGCATTGGCTGATGCTCTGAAGATTAACCGCACTCTGACCTCCCTGAGGTACGGGTGCCCTGCCCCATTCCTCCTGGAGCAGGTCCAGGAAACCTCTGCCTCTCATGCCCATGGGGTGGGAGATGCTTCCGAATGGTGGGCCCGGGGTACCTGGAAGGTTGTATCTCAAGTACAGCTCAAGTTCCAGCTCTTCCCTCCTCTGTAGGCATCTTGTGTAGTTACCAAGCTGTGAAATCAGGCTTGTCCCCAGAAGTGCTTTCTGGGACATCGGACAGTCTTTCTTCCAGAAGGTGCCAACATTAGTGTGGCTTTCCATGTCCCTTTAGGAGCCTGTGGTTATATCTATCCGCAGTTGAGTGGGTACTACTGCTCTGCTCTCTTTATTGTTACCAAGGTGAAATTCACACAACATTTACTATTTTGAAGTATACAGTTCATTGACATTTAGTACACTCCTCATGTTGTACAACCATCACTGCAGCTAGCTCTGAAATGTTTCATTCCCCTACGAGGAGACCCTGTACCCGTTAGCAGTTACTTCCCATTCTTCCCTCACCCTGGTTACCAATCCACTTCCTACATGGACTTACCTATTCTGGATACTTAATATAAACAGAATCATAGTCTAAGACCTTTTATATCCATCTCCTTCACTGAGCATAATGTTTTCAAGGTCTGTCCATATTGTAGCACAAATCAGTTCTCCATCCCATTTTTATGGCTGAATAATATTCTACTATAATGGATCACAGTTTTATTCATCTGATGATGAGCACTTAGATTGTTTCCACCTTGTCACTGTTGTTAATAGGTACTGGCTATTATGTATAAATATTCAAACACTTATTTTCAGGTCTTTTGAGTATACACCTATGAATACAGTTGCTTTTGAGGAACTGCAGACTATTTTCTATAGAGGTTACACTACTTACATTCCTACCAGGAGTGTTTAGAGTTCTTATTTCTCCTCTCCTAGCCAATACTTGGGCCATGTGACTTTTAGCTGTAATGAGGGCTACAGATGGCCTTGTTATTGTTCGATCCAGGTAGCCTAGGTAATGCCTTTCTTACCATTAGCAGGAAAGTGCTCAGAGACCCTGTGTGGGAAGGGCCACTGTCTTTCCTGTGTGGTTACCAATGAGGAAAGCACACAATGGCCAGTGCCTTTTCTCACTGTCCCTCCTGTACTCCTAAGGCATCTTGCCCTGTGGAGGTATACACACACACACACACACACACACACACACACACACACACACACAGAAGTGGGTTCATTCTCTCCTCCAGTGGTGACACATGCTTTCCTCCTCCACAGCCTCCAGAGCAACACGATTAAGGACCATGGTGCCAGGTCCATGGCTGAAGCCTTGGCCACCAACCAGATGCTCTCTGCGCTGCAGTGAGTGGAGCTGCCCCTTCCTCTCCCCTCTCTTCCCTCTCTCTCCTGTTTGGCCTCTGCCTTTCCTGCAAGGAGGAATGGATGGAGTGTCCTCAGGCTTTCTGGCCAGAAAACTTGCAGCTCTCTGGTTTTCCAGGGAATAGGTGTGGAGAACTTACCAAAAATAAAACCTCCTGCCAACCCAGAAAATCTCCATAATTGTAGGCAAGAAGAGAACAATTTTAGTATTGAATTAGCATTAGAGTGACTGCAGTGGGCATCATAGGCAACCCACCAGTGGTACACGATCACAAAAAATGTCCCTGTCTTCTATTTCCCAGTAGACACAACTCATTCCATGCATGTTCCCAAGGTAAATACTATAATAACTCGTCCTCAAAAGAACCTGATGACACCATTTGTCACACATACATTATTGTGCATTCACCAGATAATTGGGGTGGCCATCTGCATTCCAAACTGCTTTTATCTAGAGGAGGAAAAAAATAAATTCTTACCTATCTAGATGAGAAGCAGGTGCTTCACAACTTGGACCTGGGCAGCCCTGGTAATCTCCGTGGTGCAGGGAGGCAGGGGTCCAACCTGGCTTTGTTTTTACTTTGGAAAAGAGGGTGCCAGGACCCCTAGGAAGACCCTGAGAAAGACACGCCAGAACTGCGAAACTGGCAGGGGGTCAAATGAACTCCTACAGAGACTTAAATACATTTCAGAGGGATAGAGAAAGGATTTGCAATCTCCACTTATTTCAAGGAAATATTTTAAGAAAGAGGAGGGTTCTCTTTTCTCTTGGAAGGTTATACTTATGTTAAGGTTGGTATTTAGCTTTACACAGGCAAGACCCTGCCCTGCAGGTCCTCCAGTGAGTCCCCCCAGGGAGGATTCTCCAGGTGGGAGGCAGGCTGCTGGCTGGATTAGAAGGGTGGACTGTCCAGTGAGGGCACAGCAGGACTTGCACACAGGAGCTCTCACTGGGAGGCTGCTGGCCTCTGCTTCCAGGTGCCTTAGCAGGGAGGCTCCAGTTGCCCTTGTCCCTTACTCTCCGCTATAAGAACAACGCTGTGTCTTTGCCAAGATCCCTTCCTGCTGCTGTGATAAACTAGGGAGGGCACCCTGCTGTCTCTGACCTCTCACTCTGGGGAAGGGCTATAGCCAGCTGTGCTCATGGGCCCTCTCATCTCCCACAGCCTGCAGAAGAACGCAGTAGGGCCCCAGGGAGCCCAGCAGATGGCAGAAGCCCTGAAGCAGAACAGGAGTCTGAAGGCACTCATGTGAGACATGCAGAAGGGCCCGTTTGGTATTCTCAGTGCCCCGCACATCTCACATATTTGTAAGCATGGGAATGGATGAGTGACTGGTAGGATGGGTAAACAGCGGACTGGATGGAGAGATGAGTAGATGGAAGGACGGATGGATGGAAGTAGGGTAGCTGGCTTAAGACTCCAAAGCACTGGACTAGAAGAATGGAGACCCAGATTCCCCCGATTGTGTGAATGCCCGCCTTGTAAGGCTCGTACTTAACTGCCTTCCCGGCTGGCGAAAGAAAACAGCACTTCTTGATTGTCTTCAGATAAAGTCCTGCAAATGCATTGCAGCATGGGTTGACCCTGCCCCCTGCCACTGCCAGGCAGTCAAAGGAGGCTTTCCTACCTTGACCTCTTACAGGTAGAGAGAGGTTACTTGCAAAGATTACAGCTGAACAGGACTCAGGCATGCAAACTACACTGGACCTCTTGAGATAGCCCCCAGGCCCTGCTCCACTTGTGGCTCCACAAGGTGGGCTCAGCAGCATCTGTCTCTTGCAGGCTCTCCAGTAACAGCATTGGTGATGGAGGCGCCAAGGCCCTAGCTGAGGCACTGGAGGTGAACCAGGGCCTGTTGAGCCTGGAGTGAGTCTGTCTGCCTCCTTCATGGGTGACAGTTCTCCTGGGGTCAGTCCAGCAGATGGTGGAATGTTATTTCTGGAGGAGGACTACCAACTGGCACCCTACCAACCCTAGACCTTGGGCACACTCTGGTCTCAGCATCTACCCTCCATCCATCCTTTCCCTACCCCACCAGCCCCATTTCTCTGGCCGGTAGGGGCTGGGCTGTAGTTTCCAGAATGTCCAGCTCCACATGCCCTTGCTAAATGAGCACAGGTGCCTGAAGAGGAAGTCACCTGGAGCAGCCTTGGTGAGGTGGGGCTGCCACCCTGGGGTGACTCTGTGGTACCACTTCCTCTGGGCCACAGAGCCAACAGGCTATCCTCTGAGGATATTTGGAGCCCCTCAGGTGAAGGCAGAGTCCCAACCTTGGGGGTTGTACTGTGTGCCTGCCTCAGTGAGGCAGGGGCTAGAAGGTGGGGTGATGGGAGAGGAAACAGGATGGGAAGAGCAGATCCTGGGCACCTCAAGCTCCTAAAGAACCCAGTGCCTGTGGTCCTCCCAGGCTGGACTGGGCAGTTCTTTCTAGGTCCTGGAACCCCATATGAAGGGTGGCCCATCCTCTGTCCACAGCCTGCAGAGCAATTCCATCAGTGATGTGGGAGTGGCGGCACTGATGGGGGCCCTCTGTGCCAACCAGACCCTCATCAGCCTCAAGTAAGTCCAGCTAGGGCAGCCCTTTGAGCAGGGAGCCTGGGTTGGGAAATCTGCTGTGGGGATACCTAGAGTTGGGCAGGCTTGGTTCTAGATCTGGGCACCCTGTCCCTCTTCCTACTGTCTCAGGAGGGCAGGGGACAGTTGTGGCCCCTCAGGGGCTGCTCGGCTCTTCCTTTCTTATGTTAGCTCATTATTGGGTACCCAAGTGTCCTCACCTGCCTCTTACCCTTCGTATTCCCAGTTCTGCCATCCCATCCTCTTCCTTCTGGATATCCTAAACTGTTGACAGTCCTGAGTGGAGACACTTGGCTGCCAGCCATCAGATCCTTGACTTGTTAGCTCTGGCTCCTTCACACCTGAGCCAAGCTTTTTGAGGATACTCAGGGCCTACCAGAGGCTTCTGGACCTTCAAAAATCCTGAATACCTGGGCCTGTCCCCTGCCAGAGGCCCAGCTGCTCAGCTGGATGCTCAGAGCCTTCTCTTTCTCTTTAGTCTTCGGGAAAACTCCATCAGCCCCGTGGGAGCCCAGGCCCTGGCCCAAGCTCTCAGCAGCAACCGCACCCTGCAGCACCTGGAGTACGTGGAGGGCCAGGGAGGGTCAGGGTGGTGTTCCCTCCAGGTCATTTAGGCCCATAACCTCCTTGTTCACCCAAAGCCCAGGATTGATGGGCTGTGACATAATGGACCAGGCCCTCAGTGCCCTCACTAGTTCACAAGGTATGAGAAGGGCCCCGGTGGGGAGGGGGCAGCAGGAGGGCCTGGTGTCTAGTGATAACTCTGACAAAAGCTCCCCACTGGTATAAATTATACATGGATGAGGACAGTGTGACACTGTGCCTGTTTTACCCCTGGGGATTAATCAGCAAGTTCATGGGAAGGGACTCAGAAGCATTGATGGGCCATCCTATTGGGCCAGCAGCCCCTGGGATGCTCCACCACATACTAGCCATGCAACTTGTCACCAAATCCACTGAGCTGATTTTGTCAAGATTTGGTTAAGAAAAAAAAATTTGGTATAGGACTCTGGGGCATGGGTCAGGGCCCACACATTGTCTACGGATATGAGCCAGATAACTAATATCAGTGAGGACATTGGTCCTTGCAGGGTTGGGGGCTGGGATTTCCTGGTGACCAAGGACAAGGGTCTTCATTGTGAGCGCCTGCTCACTTTTTCTCTTCCCTTCATTCCAGCCTGACAGCCAACCTCCTCCATGACCAGGGAGCCCAGGCCATCGCAGTGGCAGTGGGAAAAAACTGCGCCCTCAAGTCCCTTCAGTGAGTCCACTGGCCCTGCCCTCACATACTCCTTCCAAGTCTATCTTTGTGGGAGCCCCTCTGAGGTTTCAAAGATTTCCCAGGCTGCTGGCTTCTAGGAAGCTGTGCCCCATCCCAGGTCCTGATTTCTGAGGCTGACCTTTGGACAGAGCAAGTTAGGAGGTGGGTGCCTTGGCTAGGCCTGGAATGACCCAGACTTTGTGATATATTTGAGCTCATTCCTGTGGCCACCACTAGTGGAGTACACCCTGACCCTTCTGGGGGCTGAGGAATCCTGCCACATCCAGCTGCCACAGCACTCAGAAGGTCCTTAACTCTGTCCCTGGGCTGCATGGTCATGTGTCTGTGTCTCCTCAGCCTACAGTGGAACTTCATCCAGGTGGGTGCTGCCAGGGCCTTGGGACTAGCGCTCCAGCTCAACTGCAACTTGACCAGTTTAGAGTAAGTATGGTCAGCGGGGCATCCAGAAGGGGTAGGGGCAGCTGAGAACTCAAAGCCCCAGGCACCTTGGTGGCACACAGCTTCCTCTGCCATAAGAACCAGAAAATATATATATATTCAGTTTTCCTGAAATAAAATCTGTACATCATAAAATCTACCTATTGGGGCCAGGGAGATAGCTTGGTAGTCGAAGTGCTTGCCTGGCAAGTGCAAGGACCTGAGTTCAATCCCCTGTACCGCATGCCCTGCTGGCCACAGAAATTGGGCGTGGTGGCACATGCCTATAATGCCCATGCTGGGGAGGCTGTGACAGGAGGATCATTATGAGTCCGAGCTAGTGAGATCCAGTACCAAATAAATAAAATAAATCTTAAAAAAAAAATCCAGGCCCAGTGAGATAACTCAGCAGACTAATCACCTGCTTAGGCAAGCCCAGGGAGCAGGGTTCAATCCCAGGCACTACATGCCACACTGGCCCTGCCTTAGTACACGCTGAGCTGGCCACTGAGACGAGGCGTGGTGGTGTGTGCCTGCTGTCCTAGCACTGGGCAGGCCCAAAACAGGAGGATCACTATGAGTCCAAGCTGCTAGTGAGACCATGTACCAAATGCATTAAAATAAATAAAATCCATCTATTTAAAATGTATAATTTACTGGTTTCTTTCTTTTCTTTTTTTTTTTTTTTTTTTTTTTGGCAGAACCGGGGATTGAACTCAGGCCCTTGTACTTGCCAGGGAAGTGCTTATTCCACTGAGCCATCTCCCCAGCCCCAATTCACCGGTTTCTAGTATAGTGTACGTTCAGAGTTGTACAAACATCACTAGAATCAATTTTGGAATATTCTCACCACTCCCAAAAGATCAGTGGCCCCTTTTCATTTGCTTCTCCCTGTATGCCTATAAACCATTTATCTATTTTGTCCCCATGGTTTGCATATTCTGAATATTTCATATACAGTAGTCCCTCGCTATTTTGCAATTTGACTTTTGTGGACTCACTGTGTCTGGGTTTTCAAAAAATACTAGTCTAAATTATTTATTGTGGATTTTTTGCTATATTGTGGCATTCTGCAGTACTGCACAGTATATGTATGTTGTCAAAATTATGTAGGTTTACGAGTTTAGAAAACTACAAGCCTACGTAGTGAGACTCTGTAGACCCTGTACTAAATACAGAAAAAAAAAAAAAATGGGACCGAGGAGATGGCTCAGTAGAATAAGCACTTCCCTGGCAAGCACAAGGGCCTGAGTTCAATTCCTGGTTCCGCAAAAAAAAAAAAAAAAAGAATATAAATAATAAAATAAATATATAATGTCTCGGGGCTGGTGAGATGGCTCAGTGGTCTAAAGCACCTACTTAGAACAAGCTTAGCAAAGCACAGGACTGCGGTTCAATCCCCCAGCCCCGCCCCCTGGTGGGCTGAGCTGGCCACACACACACACAAATAAATAAATTTTAAAAATTAAAAAAAATTATATATATATAACATCTCTACTCTGCTGATTTCACTTCTTGCATGGGTGTCCGGAACATAACCTCCCTGATAAGTGAGGGACCACTGTGAATCAAATCATCTAACATGTGGTCCTTTGTAGCCTAATTTTGTGTGTAGATAAATTTGCAGGGGATCAAAATCACAACTGTGATGCTGTGATGCACGTTAAGTACAGGCTCTGCTACTACGCGACATCCCAGCATTACTTTCATTTAGTGTATTTTTCAGGTTCATCCATGTTGTACTGTGTAGCAACACTTTCCTTTTTATGGCTGAAAACTGTTCCATGTGTGGATACACACATTTTATTTATCTGCTTATCAGATGATGGACATTTGGGTTGCTTCCACTGATTTAGGTGAATAATACCATTAACACTTGTACAAAAGTCTTGGTGGACATATGCTTCATTTTTCTGAGGTATAAATTGGGGCAGTACTGCTGGGTCAACTGGGAACCCAGCACTTAACTTTCTGAGCCTCATTTTCTTCTGTAGTTTCCAGCACGCCCCTCTCTGGCTGGTCCTCCTCATTCTTTTCTCCTCATCTACTCTTAGATATTGGGCACCCAAGGATTCTGGCCTCGGCTCTCTTCTTTTGAATAACATCCTTTTTCTAGGAGCTTTTTCTAGGGCTCCAGTAACCTTAGAGTCCTGAGGATGTTAAGCTTGCTTCTTGGTTGCCCCCTGAGCTCCTGTGACCACCAGCTATGCAGGCCAGCAGCACTGCCCCTGCGCCCAGCTCATCTCCATGTCCTGCCATCTCTCTCCCACCTGCCTGTGTCGGTCAGCTGCCACCGTCCAACTCCAGTGCCACTCACCTGCCTTACTTGGCAGCTGCTGCGTCTGTCGTCCTCCTCACACTGGTAGCCAGAGACCTTGCCAAATCATCTGTCTGCCATGTCCTGGGGGAGGTCCTTCAACAGCTGCCTGCCACATGCAAAGCACAATCTGTAGTGTGGCTTAGAAGATCCCTAAAGATTTGCTTCCTTCACACGCCCGGGCCCTGCTTTTCACCAACTCAGATCTCACCTCCAGGTTCCTAGGATGTTCCAGGCCCTCCTCCTTTCTTACCCCCTAGTCACTGCTTAGGTGTATCTGGGTTCCACCCTGGGGCAGGAAACCTCGCTGGTCTCTCCCGCTGCCTGCGCTTGACCTGTTGCAACTGCTTACATGACTGTGTCTTCTTCCTGAGTTTCAACAGCGCAGAACTGGACTAAGACCTTGCACACAGCTAGCCCAGGGGCATGCTCGCATGATGAGTGACGGGTGCAGCTGCTCCCTGAAACATGCCCGTGTCCGCCTGACCTGAACTTCAGTCATAGGCCAGGGCCTGCCATTTCCCTCCAATTTGGAAGCCGGGAAAAGATATTTGAACCAAACCTTAACCAACAAGAATGGCCCAGAGGCTGAGGGCTTCAAGTTAATTTTCTGGTTGCTGTACCCTCTTTTGTCCCAAATGCTTATTGCTCTATCCCCAAGTGTCCCTTTCCTTGCTTGCCTCTGATGGCTCACCCAGACTCAAGAGCCTCCTCTTGGTATGCTGATGTAGCCAGGGCTACAGTGGCTGAGGAGCAGAGTTATCTCCAGCACATTGGTGTGTCTGAATTAAGTCTGGAACCTCAAGCCCGGAGTCCCTGCTAGGGTGCTGGCCTAGCCCCCTGTACTGACAGAGTCACGTTCTCATTCAGCTTACAGGAGAATGCCATCGGGGACGAAGGAGCTTCTGCGCTGGCCAGTGCACTGAAGGTGAACACAACCCTCGCCTCTCTCTAGTAAGTCCTTGAAGGGTGCAGGTCCACAAGGCCAGCTCCTTCCCCACCCTCTCAGGCCACACACATTTACCAGCTGAGGAAGGTGTGTTTGGTTTTCCTTATATCAGCCATTGGGAAGACCAACTTCTGTAGGAAGAACTAGGGGTACAGCGACATCTCCACCAGCCCTGCAGGAGACTCCCTCCACTTCCCATCCCCAGGGCCAGGCCTCTGTCAGGCACTGTTGTGTAGGTGGGAGGTGCCAATAGTCTTCAGTGCTGTTTCTCCAGCACTAGTCAAGGGGTGGAGAGAAGGGAGGGAGGCTGGGCCTGGGGCAGAAGGGAGAGCAGCAGGTCCCACCTGCCTGCACTGATCCTAATTCCTCCTGCAGCCTCCAGGTGGCCTCCATTGGTGCCCCAGGGGCCCTGGCATTGGGGCAGGCCCTGGCTGTGAATGGAACCCTGGAGATTCTTGAGTGAGTAGCCCAGTCTCTAGTGGCAGCATTTTGCCCAAAGAAACCAAACTTCAAAAGAAGTACAGATGCGGAAGAACACTTGTTTACAAAGAAACTCTGAGGTCAGCTTCACAATCCCCATGTCAGGTCAGGTCTGCTCCAGCTTCCTCACTCCCACTTCATGCTTTCCCCCAAGTCACTGCTGCTCATCTGGTCTCTGGGTTGGTTCTTCCCTGACTGCACGTGTCTAGGAGCCTTGCCTAGGGGCAGCCAGTTGCCATGGATTATCACCTGTGAGGAGGTGCAATGCTGGGTGGGGGTCAAACTCTGAGAGGCCTTCGGGCATGACCTGCGCCCATGTGCTTGTGAGACTTGGAGTGCCGAGTGCACTGGTCACTGCAGGGCTGAGCACCACCTCTCCCAGCCCAGCCCTTCTTCCTCTGGAATGGAAAAGGTGGATGAGAGCGTTCAGGCCAGACCAGTCATCTGCTGCCTGTGTATCCCGCTCCGCAGCACTCAGCTCTGTTCTGTGTCCCGGGAGTGAGGAAGGAACGAGTGATGCTTGCCTCCTGCATACTGCTGACCCAGCTAAAAGGCATCATTATCACTTCTGCGTCCATCCCCATGCCTTATGTTTCCTGTTCTCCCTGGCAGCTTACGAGGAAATGCCGTTGGGGTGGCTGGAGCTAAGGGCTTGGCAAATGCTCTGAAGGTGAACTCCAGTCTCCGGAGACTCAAGTAAGTGGCTGCTAAGACCCACATCCTGTGGGATCAAATGTTGATGATCTCCTCCCTCTGTCCCTTCTTGATGTAAATAATTCAAATATTCTGATGACTGCAGTTCACATTCATTGCAGTTGGGTTCTTTTAGTTGCTTTAGTCAAGTCACTCAAAATCTGCATTCAAATTGGGTGTGGTGAGTGTGCACCTAGAATCCCACTCTAGCAGCTGAGGCAGAAGAATTGCAAGTTCAAGCCCAGCCTGGGCAATTTAGTGACTTAGTGCGACTCTGACTCAAAAACAAATTTTCACTGTGAAGGTACTAGGATCAAGCTCTAGTACCATAACAAAGCAAGCAAGCAACCAAAAAACCTGCATTCATGGTTAGGGCAATTTAGCTACCTGTAGATATCCATCTTGGGACTGAGATGCTACCACTTTGCAGTTGCTATGGCACCTGTGATAAAATCAACCCTAGAACTGTTTGTCCCCTCTGCTGCTCCAACAGGATAACGTAGTGTTCTCTCTTGGGTGTTCTTCTGTCCTGTCCTGATGGCTCACCAAAGTGTTCCAACTCTTCTCTCCTAGTCTTCAAGAGAACTCCTTGGGAATGGATGGGGTGATATGCATTGCTACAGCACTGTCTGAGAACCACGGGCTACAGCACATCAAGTGAGTAGTTCAGCAGCATCTATGCTTTTTGGTCACTCTTGCTCCCCCTCAGAGGTCAAGGCCAGGGCTTTATCCCACTCCTGGGAGCCAGCGGACACCCAAGCCCCCAGCAGCTCTACAGGGGAATGCAGGGCAAGAGGGAGCCCATGGGAGCCTTGTCCAGGAGTGGGATCCTCAAAGACAAAGGTTCTGTGGAGTCCTGCATTTATTACAGTGATAACTGCTCTAAGAGAACTGCCTTCAAGGTGCCAGGGAGATAGCTCAGTAGAGTAAGTGCTTGCCTGGCAAGCACAAGGGCCTGAGTTCAATCCTTGGTTCTGTGAAAAAAAAAAAAAAAAAAGAACTGCCTTCATCCTAACCCTTCTCTTCTAGTCTTCAAGGAAATCACATTGGGGAATCCGGGGCTAGAATGATCTCAGAGGCAATCAAGACAAATGCTCACATGTGCACTGTGGAAATGTGAGAAGAGCAAGTTCCCAATGGACAGCAGGACGGGCAGAGGTTCAGCAGAAGCTCTTGAACAGAAAGTCGCTCTTGGAGCGTGTTCCTGAGATGAGGAGTGCTGCCGACTGGCTGGGTGAGAGTGCAGGTGCTTGCAGAAAGGGAAGGAGCTATCAGACGAGGTTCTGGGCACTGCTCCTGCCCAGGGTCAGTCCCAGCAGGAGTGCATGGACACGCTCCTGTCATACAGAGTAGGGAAGTGGCTGCCACCGAGATGTGGGACAAAGGCCTAAAGCATCAGCAGTATAGGAAGCCAGTTCCAGTTTATACCCTGTGAACTTACATCCCAATTAAAATAACGACAACAGCAATAACAAACCTCTACCACTGCCCCTGACTAAAAAGGGAAAGAGGGACATTAGCAACTCAACATCTGCCTTAACAAAAGTGATTAAACTGAATGTCTCAGTCACAAGACAAAAACACCACCGTGTGCTCCTGATGCACTGCCCTCAGCACATCACTGTTGTGCTATTCTTGCCAAAAATGTTTACCTGAGCCTAATCATGAAGTGATAACACAGAGCCCAAATGGAGGGACATTTTGCAAAACTGCTCTGACCTCTTAAAAAAAGCAATGTTATGACAGAACAGGTGGAAATGACACAAAGGACTGGGGTTGCTTTAAATGAAAGAAGGTAAAGAGACTTCATAATTTAATGCAAGATCTTTGATTGGATCCTGAACTGGAAAGAAGAAAATCCAATGTAAAGAACATTACTTGGGGGCTGGAGAGATAGCTCAGCAGTCTAAGCACCTGCCTGGCAAGCACAAGGACCTAGGTTCAATCCCTGGTACTGCATGCCGCACTGACCCCATGCCAAGCTGGCCATCAAAACCCGGTAGAGTAGTACACACCTGTAATCCCAGAGCTGGGGAGGCTGAGATAGGAGGATCACTACAAGCTGCAGGACTGCACAGCAAGATCCTGCACCAAATGAATGGATAAAAGATTTTTAAAAATTTAAATTAAGAACATTACTTGCAAATTGAAGACATAAACCTCTGTTTATGGTTTATGGTTTATGGTATTCCTTACTGTTTTTGAAAGATATTCCTGGTGGGCAGAGATTTGTAGGTTGGCAGGTTTTTCTGTCCCATGTTGTTCCTCTGCCCTTTCCCTTGTGTCATTTCCACCTGAGTTGAAAACTCAGTGAGATAGAGACCTGCAGTAGACAAATGGAGAAGGCCACACCCTGCAGAAACCTAGCCTGGAGAAGCCAGGGATGAAAGCCACGGAGAAAAAGGGCAAGCCCCATTGGAAATAGCAGGAAGAGCCCTGTATAGGCCTCTCCAGCACGCACAGACAGGCACGCATGGCTTGCTGGCTGCCAAAGGAGAAATTTTTATAAGGTCTAGCTCCATGAGCACAAAGCTGGCTGGAAAAGTAGAGTTGAGAAATAAATTAATACCTGCAATAGTGAGTCTTGTTTGGTCTTTTCCCCCCATTTTCCATTTTGGACAATTATTACTATGTCTTTGGAGTTCACAATATTTTATTCTATACCTGTCATCTACTGTCAATTGTATCTGGCATATTTTTCACCTCAGATTTCTTTCTTTTTTTTTAATTTTAAGAGAGAGTTGTGGTAATTTTTTTCTTTGTACTGGGAATTGAATTCAGGACCTTAAGCTAGCTAGGCAGGTGCTTATGCTACTGAGCTATATCCTCAGCCCTTCTTGTTTTAATACTTGAGGTCACCTACAGTCTCGGCTTCCTCAGTGCTAACAACTTCATCTGTCTTCCATGTTACAAAAAACTGCTACCATTTTATCTACTCTCCACTATTGTTACTGTTAACCTTGTGAGTTTACCTCCTTTGAAATGTTTTTCTCATAAAAATAATTAGTGGACTTAGAGGAAATAAACTAATGTATTCTGTCTACCAGGTTCAATGCAAGGTCTACCCTGTTTGTATATTTATTTTTAAAAAATATTTATTTATTTATCCCACTACACAGCTTGGACTCATAGTGATCCACAGCTTGGTGGTCTAAGCACCTGCCTGGCAAGTGCAAGGACTGGGTTTGATCCCCAGTAGCACATGCTGTGCAGGCCTGGTGCACACAAAGTGGGTGTGGTAACAAACGCTTATAATCCCAGCACTGAGGAGGGTGAGACAGGAGGATCACTATGAGTCTGAGCTGCATAGAGAGATCCTGTTTGAAATAAATAGATTTTAAAAAAATTTAAAAATGTATATTTCTATGTGATTAGTGAATATTACCACCCAGAAGTTGGACACCTCAACATTTCCCAATCCTCCCATTTGCTACCTCCCCCTGTCTGCTCTTCCTCCTGTATCTCTGATGCCTAACTAGAACTTCACTTCAACTCAACATTTCTTCTGACATGAGAACCTAGTTCTCTAGGCCCATGACCAAGAGCTCTTCATGTAATGCCAGGAAGCCTCCTACTATGCCTACTATTTACTTCCTTCCTGTTTTTTGAGAAGACCTTCTGAAAGACCTTTCCTGAAAAGGATCACTATGAGTCCAATCTACGTCACAAGACCCTATATACCCTGTAGACCCTGTCCTAAATTCAGAAAAAAAAAGTTTAACTCTTGAGATGATGTTTATAAATTGCCTATGGTGGGTTCCTTTATTGCCAGTATTTAGAACCCTTAGGAAATGACACTTTTAGTTGTCTTCCAGGTGTAGCTGGTTTTTGGTTTTTGAGTCTGCTGCAAGATCCTATCTTTTCAATTTGATGGGGATGAGTAGTGGTCCCGTTTAGCCCAGCCCCTGGTTCTTTGGCACTATGCCCCAGTATTTTCTATGACCTTTAGTCAATGACCTTTATTCAGTCTTGGAATACCAGCAACAATTATGTCACTTTTGGCTATAGTGGTACCAATGACAATAGTATAAAACGGCTTAGAAAATGACAACTCAGTTAACCATTAATTGCCACCTTTAACTATATGAACTAGATTTGTGGTTCTATAAACAAAAGTCTACAACAAACCAGAATTGTATGTTGTATTAAAGCCCCTAATATTCTGATTTTGCCTTTAGGGGTTAAAATTTAAAATGGATTAGGGAGAAAGAAGTGGGAGAAAAGAAAGAGATTATAAGTTAGGCTGGAGAACAAAAGGTCACGCTAACTTTGGGAAACTGGGGCAGAAGACTGGAGGGACAGAGAGAAGAAGAGTTGCAAAGTACAGAACAGGGGCTGAGTAGACAGCTTAGCGATCTAAATGCCTGTCTGTCAAGTCCAAGGACCCAGGTTTGATCCCCCTGATACTGCATGCCTGGGGTGGGAGAGAGGCCACTGAAACAGGGTATGGTGTGCACATCTGCAATTCCAGCGTTGGGGAGGCTGAGACAGGAGGATCACTATGAGTCCAAGCTGTGTAGCAAGACCCTGTACAAAATAAATAATTTAAGAAACCCACAACAGAACCACAATCACAAAGAGGTTCACACTCAGATAAAACAAGATCAA